AAATAAATAAAATCTTTAAAAAAAAAAAAAAAGATTCTCTCTCCCTCTACCCCCTCACCAATAAATAAATAAATACATCTTAAAAATAAAAAAAAAAAAAATTGTTCACGCCCTTGGGTAGGGCACTGGCCTCTGGCCTCTGGCCTCTATAGCCTACTGAGCAGATTGCATGGTTTTGGTCTGTGTTGTGAATAAACAAACACACACACGGGCACACATGCACACACACACACCCCGATAAGCATATGCACAGGAGTGACTCTTAGAAGAGTAGCTGGTAGCTACTGGCTAGTGTCAGGGACAGTTTTACATTTTATTTACTATTGAAAGAGAGTTGTGAGACTGATTTCTACACGTTTATGGCCATTTGAGAGCTAATGTAACTTGGGTGCAGCAGAAACAGCACAGAGACAGAAGACCTGGGTTAGAATTATGGGTCTGCCACTTAAAAGCTGTGTGACCTTCAGCAAGTCACTTAACTTCTCTGAGTGTATTTCCCTATCTCTAAAATGCTATTAACAAGGCCTCCCTCTGGAAGTAACTATAAAAGCTAAATGGGATAATATAGTAAACAAACCCACTAAGAACCTATAAACACTAGCAGGACACATAAAAACATAAAAGCCTTTCCAACAGTTCTGTGTTATGTTTCATTTGTTATTTGGATAAAATATATTTTTTAAATATTTTTAAAATTTATTTATTAGAGAGAGAGCACACGTGCACATGTTGGGGGGGGAGGCAGAGGGAGAGAGAGAAGCAGATCCCAGGATTCTGAGATCATGACCTGAGCTGAAGGCAGATGCTTAACCAACTGAACCACCCAGGTGTCCCTGGATAAAATATTTTTTAACTTTCTTCTTACTGTGACTGAGGAGGTTACCGTGACACTCATTTCTGATACAAACAACCGATGGTTATTTGGTCCTCACGGGAGGCTCTCCCAGATTCTCTGAGCCCACCACCAGAAACCCTGCTGTGTTGCTTGGGCTGGGGGGAAGAGGCAGGATCTGTCCCAGAGGGGGCTCTGGGCTATGCACAGCAGGTGGCCAGGATGCACCTGGGAAGTCTGTTTTTAGAATGGCTCTGACCGATACATGAATTATAAAATAATAATGATGCACCTGACATTTGCAGTGTGTCTTGACATCAGTTGCTTCATTTACTCATTCATTCAGCAAATATTTATCAAGTGCCAGCTTTGTGCCTGCTCTGGGGTTACAGTGAGAAAGAAAATGGATTCAGTTCCACTTCCTGGAACTTACATTCTCATGGGGAAGAGAGAAAATAGCAGTAGGTATTCCCTTGACACTCAAACATCCTTTGAGAAAGCGAGGAATCGGTACTATTATTGCAGTTAGATGACAAAACTGAAGTTCTCAGAAGGTAAATACCTGGCTCCAAGTCCTGTAGTTAGTAAGCCGTGAAGAGAGAATGTGCTCCAAGTGTACTGTTTTTCTCTGTTACGTGGCTTCCTTACACCCCACACCTCATAAATTCACACATTTGAACTTGCGTTTTATGTCACACGTTATCAGGGGTGATTCAGGTTTCTCATCGGTATGTGATAAACTGATCACTACCAATTTACATAGGTTAGTTAAAAGATTACCCGCAGCTCACGCAACTGCTGAGACCACCTCCAGTGCACGGAACTGAGGAGTATCTCGGGTTGCTCCAGGCCACAGTTTCTGGTAGAGGCTGACTGCACTCTCTTGTTCTTGCTGCCTTGCCACGCCACCTCTCTCTCGGCCAGCTAGTGTTTCCTGAGCTCAAGATTGGGCAGGATGCTAAGCTGAGTAAAGAAGGCAAGGCATGGTTTCTTCCTGAGGGCATTTTGTAGTTCAGTGCAGAGAAAAGGAGATGTCTGCTGATGAGGCATTTAGAGAACCACAAGGGGTGCTTTAACCACGTGGGAGGTGCTGTGAAGGTGTGGACCGGGGACAGGCCAGGAGGATGGGAAGGGTGAGGGGAAAGATGGGCCTTTATTAGGGCCTTGAAGGATGGGTATGGAAGTATAGGGAGAGGTAGATGGAGGATGATGGCAGAGAAGAACTGTATTAGGGAGAGGATAACTAAATTTCCCTCTACCCTTCAAGGTTCTTGCCTGAGACCATGTCCCACCACCACCCCCCACACCTGTAATAACAGACAGATTACCAGGAGAAAAACCAACAAACGTCTAATTACCTGCATACCTCCTGTATGGAAAGGAAAACGGAGTAACTCCCTGAAATGGCCCAGGCTACCACCTTAAATGTCATCTCCACCTAAAGATGGAACAAATTGCCAGGGGAGGTGGGAAGGAGGCAAGTTATAGGGGGTCAGCAAGAAAAGCACAGTAAATAAGAGGAAGGTTGTAATGCAGATTTATGTGTCATCTTTTCTATTAGAGGTTTTAGAGATTTCGAGTCTTCTTTCTTTTCCTGGTACACAGAGGGAGACACTCTTACAAATGGAGATTTCTTTATGGATGTAAATTTTTTTTTTTTTTTTACAGAAGGGTATTGTACTCAGCTTTTCCTGTGTCTGCTGTTTCTTAAAAATAACCAGCTCAAGGGGTGCCTGGGTGACTCAGTCGGTTAAATGTCTGCCTTTAGCTCAGGTCATGGTCCCAGGGTCCTGGGATCAAGGCCCACATCAGGCTCCTCGCTCAGTGGGGAGCCTGCTTCTCCCTCTGCCTGCCATTCCCCCTGCTTGTGCTTGTTCTCTCTCTCTCTCTCTCTGACAAATAAATAAATAAAATTTTTTTTTTTTTTAAAGATTTTATTTATTTATTTGACAGAGAGAGAGAGACACAGTGAGAGAGGAAACACAAGCAGGGGGAGTGGGAAAGGGAGGAGCAGGCTTCCCGCGGAGCGGAGAGCCCGACGCGGGGCTCGATCCCAGGACCCTGGGACCATGACCTGAGCCGAAGGCAGACGCTTAACGACTGAGCCACCCAGGCGCCCCGATAAATAAAATCTTAAAAAAAAAAATAACCAGCTCAAAATAATCAATACACCCAAGAGGCATATTTTGGGGTGGTGTGTTTGCTCGCCTTCACATACAATGCATATTTCCCACTTGAGCCCCTCACTATGACCAGCTTTGTGTTTAGTAGGCCATCTACCACACCTTGTTTGGATTTTGTCTTCCAGTATGGCCCACCTGGAGTCTATCAGCCAGGCCAGATAACAGATCGAACAGTTCTTAATGTGTACAGTGGCTTGACAGAGAACCGAGCGGACGGCTACCTGTTGGATAAATACAAGGTGAGGAACTTCACGTTTTGTTGCTATTTCCAGTGTAACTTTCCTGGAACCTGAAATGTGCAGTGAGTCACAGATTCTGTTGTGAGATTGAATGAAGTTAATGAATATATAAATGCATGCGTTGCACCGCTGTCTGTCAACACTAAACAAGCTTAAGCGCGTATATAAATATATTGCCGTTTGCAAGCAACTACATTACTAAAAGACTTTCCAAATGTTAACATCGACTGCTTGTCTTGGTTTGGCTTTAAAAATTCTGTTACAAATGATATAATTGAGGGGTGGGTTTGTTTTTTGTTTTTTTGCAATTTTTTTTCTTTTGGGAAGGGATGCCTAGGTCTTTGGAGGGTCTGTGGTGCCAACACTTTGTTCCTTTGTTTTTATTAGCTAGGAAAAGTAGATCAAGAGTTTTACAAAGATTGTGACCTGTTCATAGGAGCCACCATCAATGTGTGGGGAAGGAAAGTGCTTCTTTGTGACTGTGATGAATTTACAAAGACTTATTATAAGACGAAATATGGAATTGGTAAGTGATATGTATGTCCATTAGAAAATAAAATTTAAACTTCAGAACCTTTGTTCCCTACGTAAGATTTTACTTTTGAGTTTGAAAGGCTAAGCTCATAGTAGCTACCATTTATTGAACATTTGCTCTCTGTCGGGCATTTGTTGGCTTCCTTTCTCCTAACAACGATTCTAGGCTCATTATCTCCATTTTAGAGGTGAAGAAACTGAGGCTTAAAAGGGGCTAACTTGTCGAAGGTTATGCAGTGAGTAAAGGGTGAGCTGAGAGTTGAATTTGCCTGCCTGATGCCAGAGGCTTTGGTTTTCCTTTATAGCCAGTCACCTGCCTTATTGCAATATGGCGTCAGTGTTTTCTGGTCAAGCAACTGAAGTGGGAATCTGAATATTTTTCTTTTCACTGAATTCTTGCTTACTACAATGGTTATACTGCTTATTTAAGTTCTCTGGGGAATTCTCTTGTGCCAATTTGCTCTACCTTTTCTGGTGAAGCCTGGCTACATTTCCAGCTTTTCTCTCTTCTTGGGTATCAGTTCTGTTCAGATGAGTTCAGTTCAGAATGAAAACGGGTGATTTATTAAGAATTTACTAGGCACAGGTTATTGTAGTAGGACTTAGGAGCTACGGAGTTAAAGAGTTTCTTGGGCTGGAAGGAGAGCAGAAACCTACAGCACATCGGATGGTGTTATGAGGATCACAGAAGCAGGCGGAGGATCTGATATGAAACCTGAAAAACAAACCCCTCATTTGTGAAACCTGTCAGCCAGCTCTGCCCCTTTCCTGGGCCCTGTTCCAGGTACCTGCTGGCACGAGGCTAAGGGGGTGGTGGGAGTTGCCAACCTCCCAGGTTGGGGTTTGGCTGGGGTGGGAGTGCTTACTCCTGCACTCCTCTCCGAACCTTGGAGTGTTCATGTGAGCACACTTTCCTGAAGGAGGAGATAGAAGCCAGAAGCACAGCTATCTAAAAGACAAAGTGCTTTTTCTCTAGAATGAGACGAGCACCTCATGTGTCTTGGTGTCCCATTGTGTAGAGTTCCTGGCCTCCTGGGAATCTCTCTCTCTCTCTCTCTTTTTTAAAGATTTTATTTATTTATTTAGAGAGACTGAAGGGAGGCGCAGAGAGAGAGGGAGAGAGAATCTCAAGTAGGCTTCACGCTCAGTGCGGAGCCCGACGTGGGGCTCAATCCCAAGACCCTGAGATTACGACCGGAGCCAAAACCAAGAGTCGGATCCTTAAGCAAATGAGCCACCCAGGCGTCCTCCCTCCTGGGAATCTTTATATCATGGGAGAAGGCACATAGCACACACAAAGGGTTGGAATTAAAAACACTTTGAATTTCACTCTTCAGTTCATTAAGGGAATCTGTTCCACTGCATCTGCATGCCAGATTAATCAAAATGTGTGGGGCCAAATTGGTGGTCTCTCCTAACATTCGTCCTCTTTTGTGGACACCATTGGGCATATTGGTTTTGGGGACTGTGAATAAGAGGCAGCCAGGAATGTGAGTGTGGTGGTTATTGTAGAGAAGTTGCTGGTGGCCCATAGGTCCTTGGGAAGGAGAATTTGGTTTTTAATAAATGTCAGTGTCTGTTTAGAATCAATGTCTTCAGTGTCGACTTAAAATTGGAAAAAAGGGCGCCTGGGTGGCTCAGTTGGTTAAGCGACTGCCTTCGGCTCAGGTCATGATCCTGGAGTCCCGGGATCGAGTCCCGCATCGGGCTCCCTGCTCGGCAGGGAGTCTGCTTCTCCCTCTGACCCTCCTCCCTCTCATGCTCTCTGTCTCTCATTCTCTCTGTCTCAAATAAATAAATAAAATCTTAAAAAAAAAAAAAAATTGGAAAAAAAATATATGTAAAAGATGAGTTAACCAAAAACATTGACTCATGTCCTACTGAAAGATCTTAACATAAAGGAGGAGGCAAAGTTTCCAAAACATCATTGATCCCTTCAACCTAGAGGCCAACATTTGGTTGATGTTTGTCCATCAGTTTGATTTTGAGACTATAAAGGTGGCATTTGGGAAAATGAACATGGTGCTGGTGAGACATGGTACATTGTTAGTTTCTTAACATGTTGGCAGGGAACTTGCCGAGGCAGAGTGAATTCACTGGTATACTCTAAATCTAGCTGTCCTCGGCAAATGGATCTGCTTCAGATGCCTGATGGTCCATTTCTGTTGAGCCCTAGTGCTTAATTTCTTTCTGCTCACTTCTTTTGTTTACCTTATAGGATTATGTATTATGTAAAAGAAAAAAACAGTTTGTGCCTTTAAAGCTAATATAACATGAGCATTATGCATTTAAACAGAAAATTATGCAAATGCAAAATTATGATGCATTTTATAGTCACGCTGACTTTTTATATTTCTCATAACATATGTTAAAATATCCCATTTAACAGACACTATTATTACACAACATTTCTTGAGTAACAACAGTGTATTAATGTAAGTAATGACTAGAAATTATATCCATGATGCAGCGGGGGTGGGGGGTGGGTGGGTTGTGAATCTGTGTTCTCTGATACTCTTTCCATTGCCTTTTCTGACTTTTTGGTAAGGTTAAATTAAGATGCTTAATGTTACTTAGATACAGTTACTTCTGACATATTCATTTTGTATGTAATTCATTCTGCTTCTCCAAATTCATAAGACCAAATTCTATACATTAAACTTTGGTATCCTCGAAGCTCAGACCTGAACAAAGTTCTGTCTATAACCAAGGTCAATAATTGTGGTCAGTAGAATGCCTGGTGTCTCCACTCAGCAGCCCCACGGGAAGGAGCTGACAAGTCCTAACCACACAACCAGGGACCTCCTAAGAGGAAGCCAGGGGGGAGATTCGTAAATGCAGCCTTCGTACTTTTTTCCAAGAGCTATCTGTACCCCGTGTAAAGCCCAATTTGCCTCCTAAAACGAGAAGATTCTTTTGTGCATTTAAGGATTCCAAGGAGAAAGCAATTCCGTCAACTTCTTGCACAAAACATTCCAATGTGACTCCCCCACTAGGCAGCTTGGCCATCCTGCTGACCCTGGCTCACCTGCTGGGCAGGAGCATGTCGCTCCCTCATTATTTCGTGTGGATGAACACGGACTGGCAGATGGAGGCCTGTTGGACTTTCCTGTAGCATAAAGGTTAGAAAAGGCTCCAGGGGCTCCAGCATGTGTTTCCTTCACTGAAGGAACAGGGGGACTTGAATGTAAACTGCTCTTACCTAGAATTCTTGCCTTGGGTTATTATTTCTTTGTTAGAGGAGGACTTGGTGATCATCCATTCTTAGTGGCTGGGAGAACCAAACCAGTAAAAGACCAGCCGTTCCCATTGCTCTTGAACACTTACTAGGCTGTACTGACATGAAGGCTGAGCACAGTTCTTAAAGCATCTTTAATTTTGTGGTGTTATTACTGGCCTCTCGATCAATTCTGAACTCGGTGCTGGAAGCAGTGAGACATCCAAGATAGTAGTTTAATGGTCATTCGAGCAAACGAGCCATCCCAGGCTACAATGACGGAGTAGAATTTGCTTCTGGTTGCACCACGTGGCCTTAATGGATGGAACAATTTTGCCCCTTTGTCTTCCCCTATGAAGTACAGAGGATTGAGGAATGGCTGATCCCTAAGGATTTTCTAGCTAGAGCTCAGAATATATGTGATTCAGTAATGATTTGACCCAGAAATGAACATCCCACCCAAACCATTTGACCTGGGTATTAGGTACAAGGGGGGGGGGTGGTGGTGGAATTTGCTTTGACATTCATGAAGCTTGAGCTTTAGGGTTCTTCCTTTGCAGGAGCCCCAGTCCAAGGCCCTGGACCTGATTTTGTCTTAATAATTTGGCATTCTTTGTATTGAAGAGCATCTCCCAAATTATGTAAGCTCCAGGCCTCCCCAAATCTGAGTCTGTATCTGGGTTACTAGAACATACAAGATGAACTTTGAGGTGATCGAAGGCTTTTTTTCCGGTACGGTTTCCAACTGAGATGGCAAATAGTAGATCACTGTGAAGGGTCATTAAGATTCCTTTGAAAAACATACCACCTTTCTGTAAATTTGTTAGAATCCAGTTAATCGTGGGTAGACATTGAGTATATATGTTTTTACAAGTCGCTTGGAATTAGAGGAATCAGACAATTGGAAAGAGAGATGTGTCCCAGAGTTCAGCAGAGTGCTGTTGACGAAGATATTTGGGAAGGTGCTGTGTACAAAAACGTATCATTTTTCATGTATTCAACGAATAGTTTTTAATACCTGAAACATGCAGGATGCTGGGATGTTGGAACACCAAAGACAGGAAACATATGCAGGGGCAAGTCTCAAGCCTTGCGAATGTACACAATTACCCAGAGAAATGAGCTCTTGGGTCAGAGTATCCAGAAAGATATACGCGGGACAAAAAGTCAGGCAAGATGGAGTGGAACCGTTCTCGGCTTTTATACACTAGATGGCACTGTGGGTGCAGAGGAAAGCTCTAAATTGGTTCTTTTGTTACTTAAATCTGTTGCAAAAATTATGTAGTTGAGAAAACAACGCTGTTATAAAACCTATAATTTGTGGGGGGGGAGGTATAGAATGCATTCTTAATTACTTTGTGATGCAGTACGTGTCCTCTTTTGGTTACACTGTTCAGATTAGTATGGAGAGTTGTCTCTATGGATATGTATACCCTGTTAGGAAAAACGGATCATGCCCCAATTTTCTAATAATCACATAGAGCTTTCTCTACCAGCCCGTCCTTTCCCTGAAATGACGGTACCAGTCAGTGGCGCGTTTGATTTCACAGTTAGCGATGATAGGGTCTACTGCAGTTCTGCCGAATTCCAAGATTTGAACTTTCCTCTTTATTACCCAGATTTTAATTGCCACAAAAATAGCAATAGGAGAGGCTCGCCAGTCACTTCTGTACTGGCTGCCTGGCTGCTTCCTTTCACTGAGCCAGTGAGAAATCTTTGCTGGCATTTTCTTTGCCAATATGTCTTCTGTGAACGGTTTCTGTTAAGATAGAACAATACTCTTTTGGGGATTATGCTTGAGGGGATTTCGCACAAAGGCTAAAGAATAAGGAAGTCTAAGGAAATGTGAAAGCTGAAAATGTCTTCAAATCAGAGTTAGAAATAGCCTCAGACCCTTAGCCTTTTGATCCATCAGTTAAAAAAAAAAAAAATCCCTCAATTTTAAGAGTTGGGTTGCTTTGGATGACAAATCGATGCACACTTTCAATTATGCTCTAAATCTACACTCTTGTTTCCGTTAGGACTTTGACAGTGGAAAAGGAAACCTTTGCTTATATGGAACTACTTTGAGTCCCAAATGGCACCACCTAGGGGATACTCGAGCTTGGGTGAGAAGTAGAAATTAGATTCCATGAGTTGTTTTGTTGTTGTGTTTTGCTTTTGGAAAGATCCTGGCATTTTCTTTGCCCTTTGTGGTGGGACAAACACAAGTAAGTGACTTGGAGCTATCAGTTGAACGGGCTCTTCGCTCTAGAGAGAACACTTGCTTCTCAGACATTATACAACCTCACAAATGTGGGCCTGAAAGCTGCCAGGTGGTTACAGATATGTCTCCAGCTCTCTGTCCATCTCTCCTTCCTCACAGATGATAAGGACGGAAAGAAACTCAATGGTATTTCCACATAACACCCCCTTTGAGCGAGTAAGCAGGGATTATTTTTAAAGTTTTGTGTATTTGTTTTCGGTTTTATTTTTGTGTTTTTTTGTTTGTTTGTTTTGTTTTGTTTTGCTTCGTCACATTTTAGTACAATTACAATCTTTTCTTGGGCAGTCATAAGAGCAATCCAGAGCGGTGGCTGGTGAGAAGTTTTGGTTTTGTTTTGTCACTAGATGGGGAAGTGCCATGGCCTGGGGTTGAGTTGGAGGAAAGAGAGAGGCCTGAAAAAGTTGGACACAGGAGGAGGGGACAGCGGATGGGGAAGGTAAAGTCAAAACAGGAGTCAGTCCTGTTTGGAAAGGAATTTGAAGAGTGAGGGTTGACTGAAGAGAGGATGGGGCTAAGCTGCAGGTTAAAACAGGGGATGGGTGGCAAAAAGCTCCAAGTTTGAATTTTCGTTATCATTGGAAAAATCAGGGAAGAACCAAAAATAGACATGGGGGTGTGATGACAAAAGATAAATGTTTACTTATTCGACATAGGCAGTTTCTTTTTTTCTTTCTTTGTTTTGAACCAATGGCGATTATTGAGTGAGTTCTGTGGTTTTTGTAAACATGATTGAAACCTACCCTCACAGGATTTGCTGTGTTTTGTTTGAAAGAGTTTAAAATAGTCCACAAAGATCTCCATGTCCATCTTGAAAACATAACAAACCTTTCAAAACAGCCACAATCAGGGCAAAAAAAAATATTGATGTTTCATTGGCCTTTGTTTTGTTGTAGAGAACTTCACCTCGATTCCATGGAAGGCTCCACCTCCTCCAAAAATAGAAAGGAAATTTCCACCTTATACCGGCTTTGGTTCTGAAGAGGATTCTCTCCGCTCCTGCATAAGCCTCACACCCACACCTCATCAGAAGAACTTCAAGAAGTTCCTGGAAAAAGACAGGTGCTTGAGGGAACCATGATTTCAGTCTGATCTTTCCCAAATGTGTTTGGGGTTTATACTATAGGCCTCATGGCGAAACACATGGCACTCAGCTCATGTGGTTAAGAGTTCAGGAACATGCCATTATAGCTTTTTAATGAAACTGATTAACATCCAAGTATTAAGAGGTTCTTTGTTGAGTGGTTATTTTATTTTTGTCCCAGTTTTATTGAGGTATAATTGACATATAACATTATTTCTATATTTTTAAAAGATTTTATTTATTTATTTGTCAGAGAGAGAGAGACACACACAAGCAGGGGAAGGGGCAGGCAGAGGGAGAAGCAGGCTCCCTGCTGAGCAAGGAGCCCAATGCCGGACTTGATCCCAGGACCCTGGGATCATGACCTGAGCTGAAGGCAGATGCTTAACCAACTGAGTCACCCAGGCACCCCAATATTATATAATTTTAAGGTGTAACACAATGATTGGATATGTATATATTTTGAAAAAAGGATCACCATCAGAAGATTAGTTCACATAAGTTACCTCCCACAGTTAACAATTTTTTTTCTTTTGTGATGAGAACTTTTAAGATCTAGTCTCTCAGCAACTTTTCAATATACAAAAGGGTATTGTTAGATACAGTCACCATGTTGTGCATTACATCCCTAGGACTTACTGATCTTATAACTGGAAGTTTGTACCTTTTGATTCCCTCTACCCATTTTGCCCACCCCCAACCCCCCATCTCTGGCAACCACCAGTCTGATCAGTTTCTGTGAGTTTGGTTTTTTGAGATTCCACACATAAGTGAGATCATACAGTATTTGTCTTTCTCTGTCTGACTTATTTTACTTAGCATAATGCCCTCGAGGTCCATCCATGTTGTCACAAATGGCAGGATTTCCTCCTTTTTTATGGTTGGATAATATTCCATTGCGTATGTATATACCACATCTTCTGTATCCATTCATCTGTCGCTGGACATTTAGGTTGCTTCTGTGTCTTGGCTATTGTGCATAATGCTGCAGTAAACACAGAGGTGTGGGTATCTCTTTGAGACAGTGATTTCATTTCCTCTGGATATATACCCAGAAGTGGAACGGCTAGATCATATGGTGGTTTTAACTTTCTTGAAGAACCTCCATACCGTTTCCCAGAGTGACTGCCCCAGTTCGCATTCCCACCAACAGTGTGCAGAAGTTCTCTTTTCTCCACTTCCTTACCACCGAATGGTTATTTTCCTTTATTATTTATTATTTTTATTTTTTAAAAATATTGGAACACTCCACAAATTTGCTTGTCATCCTAATGACACAGGAGTTATGTTCGTCTTTTCTGTATTGTTCCAACTTTAGTATAAGTGCTGCTGAACTGATCGCTTGAGTGATTTTTTTTTTTTTTTTAAAGATTTTATTTCTTTATTTGAGAGAGAGACACAGCGAGAGAGGGAACACAAGCAAGGGGAGTGGGAGAGGGAGAAGCAGGCTTCCCGCGGAGCAGGGAGCCCGATGCAGGGCTCGATCCCAGGACCCTGGGATCATGACCTGAGCCAAAGGCAGATGCTTAACAACTGAGCCACCCAGGCGCCCCTTGAGTGATTATTTTTAATGTGTCATCTAGAAGCCCTTAAACCTGTATTATTCCCAATCATGTTGCCTTTCCATACATATATCTCCTCAAGATGGTCCCTAGGAAGTGGTATAGAGTAGGGGTCAGCAAAATTTCTCTTTAAGAGTCAGATAGTAGATGTTCTTGGCTTTGAAGGCCATACGGCCTCTGTTACAACCACCCAGCTCTGTCATCATAGTGTGAAAGCAGCTGTAGAGTCCGTAAACAAATGCGTGACTGTGTTCCAATAAAACTTTGTGTATGGACACTGACATTTGAATTTCATATAAGTTTTACATATTACCATTCTTAGCTCACAGCCCACGCAAAACCAGGTGGCTGGCCATATTTGATCCACACACTGTAGTTTGCCTACCCTTGGTCTAGAGGCTTTAGTGACTCTGAAGTATTTTTCAGGCTATTATTTGACAAATAATGTTGTTTTCCTTTGAGAAGTTTGGCTGAGTTTAGTAACCGTAGATTGCTCCCATGGCCGAATATAATTTCAAAAGATGGACTTTCAAAAGTATTCCTAATATATACAAGGAAAAATCTGTCGCTCCATCGTGTGTATAGAATGTGGGCACTGCCCATGGCTACTTTTTTACTTCTGCAGGGAAAGCAGGCCCTGGAAAAAGAAGTTGGGGGAAAAAGTGGTGGGAAAATGTTGCAGTTGTTTGCATAGGATGTGGGTTTACCATTGCAGTCCCATGTGAGGGGAGTACTGAGTCAGGAGAACCGGTGGAGAAAAATGATAAAGGAACATGCAGTAAGACCAGGAGAAGGAGATGAAAAAGACAGCATCCTGAATTTGATATAAAATTTAATGGGATTGGATACAATCACAGAACATTTTGACATAGAACAATCATTTTGCCGTATTTGTAAAGATGGTGAAAATATAGTAAGAATTGTATAGACTGTCTAAAAGGTTGTCTTTGCCCTGACATTATGGCCTTTGCAAACTTTTCAGAAATAATCCTTGGGGCACCTGGCTGGCTCAGTGGGTGGAGCACGTGACTCCTGATCTCGGGGTTGTACATTTGAGTCCCACGTTGGGTGTAGAGATGACATAAAAATAAAATCTTAAAAAAAAAAAAACTAATCCTTTATTTTGAAGGACTTTAGGGTTCTGTTTTTTAACTTTTAGAATTGATGTTACTCCCCACACTGGTAGAAACACTAACTCGTGCCTCATCCTAGACCTATTAAGGCAGAAACTCTGGGGAGGGGGCTGGAGGTGGTGGGACCCAGTACTGTGTTTTAACCAGCCTTCCAGGGTCTGATGCGCACCAGACTTTGAGAACCACTGCTTTCCATCACATAAGAGGGACCCCAACTCATACTCCATCCTCCTTATGGATAACAGGGTTTATAGTGAGGTTCCAGGGCAGGACTTCTGATGGATACTTTTCACCAGCTGCTGTTTTTTAGGGCAGCCACCCGAAGGAGGCGGGCAAGAAGAATGTCCCTATTGTAAAAGGAGAGGAAATTTTTCTTATAAGTAAACAAGATGAAATATGATCTAGGGTGTTGCTTCTGGAACCCGGGGAGGGGGAAACAGCTCCTTGTGGGTAGTTGCCTGAGTCTCTCTTTCTGTCTACACCACATCAACTTGCCCACAGAGCACGGACTGTAGACAGCATTCCACGTTCTCGTCCTGCTGTCGGGGCTGGACGATGGTGGTGCAGGCACAAATGTGTCTAATTTTGTTTCTTTCTGTCCACTGCCCGCTCTGTGCCAGGAATACACTTCCCTCAAGCTCCTCCCACACAGTGACCTTGTTTCCATAGTAACTGGCACATTCAGCTGGAGACTTACACATGAGTTTGAATAACTCAAGGTTTTAAAACTGTGAGAACCTAAGGAAGACGATCCCACAAAGCATGCAAAAAAACAGTTTCTTCATGCAAATAAACTGTGAATTGTGATGTGCAGTTGTGTGTGACATATGTTGATTATAGGTATGTTGCTGTTAGAAATTTCCTGGGTGCTAATCCTTGAATGAGGTTACTGGTGATCTACTTTGAATCGCTGGAGGAGGAAATAGTTCCAAATTAGAGCATATGAGGTTTTTGATGGAATGAAGGTCTTTATTTTCTGGGTAAAAATTCACTGTGGTGGCCTGCTGGGCAGATTGTCTAGTCTGATTTGGGAGAACCAGAATAATATCCTTCTTGCTGCGCTGGTAGAATTACTCTGTTCTCTGTGTGCTCACAATACTCTGCTGGTCGTACCTCTAGTAGTAGTAATAATAATAATAATAATACTTCTACTAATAAGCAATTTGTGATTATGGTGTGCGAACTACTTTATAATACTTGATCTCATGTACTCCTCAAAACCACCTCATAGAGTAAATAATATTATCGTACCCATTCTTCACACGAGGGAACTGAGGGTCAGAGATGTTGTGCAATTTGCCCAAGCTCACCGAGCTAATTTTTAGTTGAACTGGGATTTGAACCCAGAGAAGTCTGACTCCTGGAGTTTACCTTTCTTGCCCCAGAGCCTGTACTTTTCACAGTGTGTGGCAATTACTTGTTTATGTAATCGTGGTGTCCCCCTAGATCAAGAGCTCCTTGAGGGCAGGGACAGGCACTAAAGCTTCCCTCAGAGTTAGAACAGCGCTGGCTACATGCTTGGGGCTCATTAAATACTTTGTCCAAGAAGAGAAGGAATGGATAAATAAGTAAGCAAAGAGAATAAGCTTCACCCTTCCAGTTCTTATGGGTAGAAGAGACAGATGACTTCCCACCAGGAAGGCTATTATCCCAGACTTGTGCTATTCATAGCCATAGAGCATCCAAAAATTCACGGTTTAATCTTAATCTCTGACTTGCTTCAGATGTTGTCCACCTGCTGTCTCCATCAGTCATGCTGTTTTCTCTTAAAAAGTTATTTTCTCATCAATAAAAATAAGCCTTCATGTCTCTTCCAACCCCAAGAGTATATAGCTTTCGCTGTTTTTGAGGTTTTCGGTGGGTACATAGCCCTGAGCGAACCATTCATTTTCCTGGTCCACAGATATTCACAGGGTACCTGCCCGTTCGCCAAGCACTGATTTAGGGGCTTGGGATCCATCAGTGAACAAAGCAGACATGCAGCCCTACCCTCATAGGACTTAGTCTAGCTGGGGGAGGCAGACAGTGCACACCACAGAAAACCCCTAAGTGCATTCTGTAAGTATGGAGAAGGTATTAAATACCATGGACAAAGTAAAGCAAGTAAGAAGTTGCTATGAGAAGAATAAAGAGGAACTAACAGGGCAGTGCTGAGGAGCACCTCCGGTTTCATTTTTAAAATAGTGTGGTCTGGATGGGCCTTACTAAGGAGAGGAAATACGTTACGGGCAGAAGGAACAGTTGATGTAAGGGCCCTGAGCAAGAAGCAGGCTGACATGGATAGAAGATGTGAGTAAAGGGCAGAGTAGATAGATTAGAAGAGTTAACGGGGGATCGGATGCCGTAGAGCCTTGCAGACCATTATAAGGGTTCTTTTGACTTTGAGTGATAAGCGGAGCCGTTGGGAAATCAGAGCAGGCGGTAGAGACTTGATCTGATTTACATAATAAAGGAATCACTCCAGCTGCAGTGTTGAGAGTAGAGTGTGGAAGGGCAATGGCGGGAGTAAGGACTAGTTCAGAGCCCACCACAGTCATCCAAGAGAAAAGTTACGATGGCTTGGATCTGGGTAGGTGCCATGGAAGTGATGAGACATAGCAGATTCTGGAACTATTTTGAAGGTCAAGCTAATGGGGTTCCCTGACAGATTTGGACATGAAGTCCAAAAGCAGAGAGGCGTTAAGGATGACTCCCCAGGGTTTTGGCCTCAGCAACTGGAAGGATAGATGGGAAAGACTGTATAGGTAGAACAGTAAGTTCAGTTTGGGCACAGGTGAAGTGTGAGATGTCTCTTAGCTATCAGATGGAGATACTGAGTAGGCATTTGGAGATATATCTATATCAATCTGGGGTTCGGGAGAGAGGTCTGAGTTAAAGATAGAAGTTTGGAAGTCATCGACATGTATATGATATTTAAAGGCTTGATACTAGAAGAGATCACCAAGGGAGTGAACATACGCTGAGAAGTGGATGACCAAGTGATTCCTTGTAGGGTACTGTATTTATAAAACAGCAACAACAATAATCCGCGTCTAAGTAGACCTGTGCAGTTCAAACCTGTGTTGTTCAAGGGTCACCTGTATGTTATGCATGGTTACGACAGGTAGCTAGCTGTAGGTGGGTGTGTCTGAACCTATCCATGGCCCAGAAAGCCAGACAGAGCAATATAGGTGGTCTAATAGGAAGCAGGGAAAATGCTAGTTTTTTGAGTGTGAGGAGGAGTATTGTGATAAAAAGAGAGTTTGGAGACTTTTGATAATTAGCTTATTAGTCAAGGAAATAGCTGAAGATACTTGCAGTGTTTTCCAAAGTGGGCTCTGGGGGCTCTTCATCAGAACCTCCTGGGGAGCTTATTAAAAATGCAGGTTTCTGGGGATGCAAGCTAACTACTGAATCCATATCTCTGGGGGTAGGACTCTGGATTCTGTATATTTAACAAGTTCCCCAGGTGACTTTGAAACACAACAAACTTTGTGAACTGCTGCTCTAAAGATTTTGTTTGAGTAAATTATATTCCTGACTAACGAGCTCTCCAGAACATAAGACTTAGGTGGAAAAAAAAAAAAAATGGCATTTTGAAAGTGAAAAAACCCACACTTAACATACACACTTCTTAAACGTACGTTAAGTTCGAAGAAGCTATATTTACAGTAGTGTTCATTTGGCCTGATGTTAAGCCTCCTTCAGTTGTTTCAGTGATATTTTTGGTATCTGTGAAAATTAATGGCTCCTTCGTGAGATGGGGGTTACCAAATCTGTTTGTTGCTTATAAATCCAGTTATGTACCAGAGAAGATGACTGACAAGGTATAGCTGCCCCCATGCTATCTGATGTCTCTCTGAAGCCAGGGAAACTAGGAACAAAGAAGACAGAGCTGTGGAGCCCTGGCTGTTTTGCCCCGGGGTTCCCCGAGGCGAGCCTCCCAAACTGCTCCTTTCCACCTCGCGTGAGGCCTTACGCCGGCGTAGCTGGGAATTTTGGCGCCATGCTTTTTCAGCCCTTCTTCCTTGGACAGTCTGAGAAAGAGGCAGAGAAAAGCAAATAGGAAATACGGGTTCTGTTTTGTTGTTGTTGTTTTGTTGTTGTGTTTTCGTCACTGACCACAGGGAAAGAATGAATTCGGCATAGGAGAATCTGAAAGCAAGGGCCTCCCTGTTTCGAGTTGTGACAGGGAACTGATGAAGTTCACGGTTTATTTTATTCTGTGCCTCCTTGAGGTAATGATTTTGGTTACCAAAGACCTCCCCATGGGTTTAACATTTTACAAAGGCCACCTTTCATTAGCTGATTTCCACAGACATGCTTCTGCTGATGGACCATAAATTAATTTCTTCCAACGACCAGGCAGTCAACTTTGGGAACTTTTGATTCTAGAATTCGATCCCTTCTTCAATCTACTGTACTATTCTATTCATGTGCAGGGTTCTGAGTGCAAATTTCCATTTATATGGATCTTTTAACAACTTTCTACCAACATTTATTGAGTACTTATAATGTAAAAAGTATTGTATTAGTCAATGGTTAATAAGGCACAGTCCCTGCCCTGGGAAAACAGACCTGTAATAGCCACTCACAATATGGGTGATAAGTGCTATATTTAATCTGGCATTATTTAATTTAGCATTTGAAAGGGAAGGGGTAATTTTTCTCTTGAAGGGAGTTGGAGGGATGTTGGGGAGCTGGGGGAGTGGCTCAGGGAGGAGAGGATGTGGGGCTGGAAGGAAGCAAGGAAATGGGCCTGAGAACGTGGGAGGTGGACATGGGGTCGTGGCTCCAGGCACTGGCAAGACACACCCTCTTGCTGCTTGGCCAGTGAAGGCCAGGTGTTGTCCTTCCTGCTAACATGATTGTTGGGGTCGCTGACCAGCCTTGTGAGTAGGAAACAGCTGTTCAATGCAGCTGGTTTGAGGAGTGTGTTTATGACATTTGTTTTGGGTACATTTTCCCAGTGGGTTACCCTGGACATCTAAAGAATAAGAGAGATTTTAATAAACTGAGAAAATTCCTCTGCATATAGATCTAAAGCCTTAATAAGAAGGTGGTTGAACTTTTTCAACCTCAGAGAGTTTATGCTACTCTCTTAAAACCATGGCACACCTGGTGGATGGGGGAGGTGGGTGAAATGGGTGAAAGGGGTCAAAAGGTACAAACTTGCAGTTATAAAATAAGTAAGTCCTGGGGATGTAATATACAGTATGGTGTTTATAGTCAAATATACCGTATTGCATATTTCAAAGTTGCAAAGAGAGTAGATCTTAAAAGTTCTCATCACAAGAAACAAAATGTGTAACTATATGGGGTGATGGATGTTGAGTAGTCTTATTTTGGTGATTGTAGCGAATCATGTTGTATACCCGAAACTAATATAATGTTGTAAGTCAATTATACCTCAAAAAAAAAAAAATAGCACACCTTTTGCAGGTTTTTTTTTTTTTTTTAACATATGTAATAAGGCTGTAACCCTCATTTCTCTTCCATTTAGCTATGGCAACATAAGCAATACACTCCGGTTTTTTGCAAAACTCTTCACACACAAATGTGCAGACGTGGACAGGATGTTTGTTATTTCATACTTTCTCAGTGATGACACAATTTCAGTGTTTGAACCTATAGAGAGGAATTCAGGTAAGAGGCATAGCTCTTACAGCAATTTTCTCAGACCAAGTAACCGTCTCTTCATTTTGAAAGTTAGGGAGCGTGGTCTGATTTTATAGCCTAGATGACTAGATAGTGGCTTTCTTTTCTTTTCCTTTTTTTTTTTTTTTAACCACCAAAGTTCATTTTACAAAGCTCTCTTAAATGGGAACCCAGACGTACAAAGTGATGAAAGAGGAACAGGAACAGTTTGGTTGGCTCAGGGCTGGGAGACTCTGGATGCCTCCTTTTGGAAACTATTCCCCTTTCTGCTGTGGCCTCTGAGGTTCCTCTGTGGAATCCAGGGGCTTTGGAATCATGGTCTGTCTACCGCCAGTTCCCTGCAAAGACAGCAAGACAAGAGGAAATCTCTATTTTTGATAGTACCACTTACAAAATATTTGCTTAACTATAAGACGATCCCAGATTTTAACAAATTTAATCTTCAAAGTCTGTCTGCCTCTGGCTTCTCTGTCTGTCGAGGCTCTTGCCAAGGTTCCAGCACCCAGGCCCACGGAATGCCTCTCTGCAGCGTGCTGATGCTGTGGACATTGCTGAGGCGAGCCGTTGATTTTGACTTACCGAATTATGGAACTCTAGGGCTTTGCTCTTTGTCCCAACGCATTTACAACTTTTATCTGTGCCGAAGACACATCTGGGAAGAAGAATCAGTGGTGTGCTGGTGAACTGGCTCTCTGAAAAAAATTTTAAAGCCCCAATCTGTAACACTTGCCAGTCATCACGGGGCAGATACCTCAACCATAGTCAATTTCAAGCAAACAACTGGCTTGCAGAAATCCCCAAAAATCTAATAGTCAGACCTTATGAGCTGCTGTGAGCCACTCTGCACACCAATGAATAATGAATAATTTGTATGAATAAGTCAGGCTGCATAGTGATTTGAATAATGGATCAAATCCTGAAATATGAACTCAAATAGGAGTAAGTAGAAAGTCATGTCTTAAAGGTCAAAAAATCAACTCTGGGGGCACCTACTTGGTAGAGCATGAGATTCTTAATCTCAGGGTCATGAGTTCAAGCCCCATGTTGGGTGTGGAGCCTACAAAAAAAAAAAAAAAGAAATCAACTCTGTACATCTAGAGTGGGGAAGATTATGGCCAAACAGACTGCAGCATTCATAAAACAGGGTGATAGACGTCAATTGCAAGCTTACTAGTAATAATAGCAGCCACGATTACCTACTGTTATCCCTAGAAAAACTTCATGAGGTTAAGTTTTGTCCAAACCCCAAGATGGGACTGAATATACAAGAGATTTATTAGGGAAAATGCCAGCAAGGGAAATTGTGGAGGGAGCCAGAAGAGGCCAGGAGAGCCATCGGACGCAGTGTAGGTCTCACTCCTCTGAAGGACAGCAGGAAGGAAGAAAGGAAAGAAAGTCTTAGATTGCAGGGAGATTCTAAGCAAGTTTCAGCAAGGCTGACCAGGAACCCGAGAGCCAAAGTCACTAGTCGGAGGAGCCTCCATCTTGCAGGAATGGGCCTACCTTGCTATCCCTGCATTATCCTGTCATTTGTCAGCAGCAGCCTGTGGGAAGCGTGACCTCGGTCCAAACCCAGAGATAGGTTTCAGAGCATAGCCACGGGGGCCTTTGTCAACTACGTTCTCCACAATGGGTGATCTGAAAGGCACATTTTCATGGCTCCCTACAAATTTTATTCCCGTTTTACTGGTGAGAATTCAGAGAGGTTCCAAGAGATTAAATAACTCCTCAAGATCATCCAGCAAGCGACAGAGCCAGGACAGATTCCAGCTCTGTTTGGCTACAAAACCTGTGTCTTTCCACCACCTCTGGGGTTTGAATGTGGCAGGAGTGTAATGAAGCTGACCCCCAAAGCTCATCTGGCTTCAGCTTGTGTTCAGATGACTGAAGGTTTCAGTTCAGTAGCAGTGAGAAGATCCTGGAGTTTCATCTTCAGTTCTGCTTGCTGCTTTCCAAGAGCCACAAAAAAACAAAAACAAGCCCAAATAATCCCCAGAAGAGAGCAGATGAAATGGTCAGAATTCTGAAAAGTAAGAAATATGTGGCATTGCTAAAAGAAGCAAAGCTATTTAGCCTGTAGGAAAAAAAAGTTACAGAACTCCCAGAGTTATCTTCAAACAGTTAAGTAAGCTCCTTTCCAGAAGCTGGGCATCCTACACTTAATCCGCGTGTCGGAATAAATATAAAACATCATCTGGGACAGATAGATGGAAATAAGCTCAAGTGGGGAAATTTCTACGTGGTACTATTCAAACGTGCACTGAAGTGGGGTATCTTCCGAATGTCCCGGTTCTCAGTATGCTGCTGGGCATGTAGCAGGCGCTTACTAAGTGTTTATTTGAGTGTTTGGACTAGGAAGGGAGTAGAGAGGGGAAGGAAAAGGCTGGGATGCCGTACCTCTTTTTTTTTTCTTTACACATTCACCTAGGGAGTCTACTGTTCACCCACTGCTTCATTCTCCCCTCGGGTCTGAGAAGAATAGGCGGTGTGAGTTCACAAGCTAAGCTGTATGGTCTGTGTTTGAGCATGAAGGAACTCTAAAGGCAAGTTGTATGGTTCTTTGAAGAATAAAGGCTACTCATTAACTTTTCTCTTTTTCTATAGGGATTACTGGCGGGAAGTTCTTGAAAAGAATTCGTGTTAAGAAGCCTGGACAAGAGGTCTTTAAAAGTGAACTATCAGAATATGTGAAGGCCGAGGAGCTATATATCGGAGCCAAAGTGAACGTGAATGGCTACCTGTTTCTTTTGCTCAGTGCTGACGAGTACACCTTAAACTACATGGAAATGAATTCAGATAAGGTGAGCCGACTGTGGAACTTTCGGCTTGCCCCTCAGCGCTCTGCAGTCTGTGTTTTTCTTTCTCTAGGCCTTTTCTTCTTCCTGCCGGTCTTACATTGTGCATTCACACATGTGGCCATGAATAATGGATCTGCGCGACTTGGCCACAGGTCCCGATCTCCTCTGTTTACATGCTGGGCCCTCCACTGCCCAGCGGCACGGATGCTGGGCACAGGCAGGAGGCAGGCCCAGGGTTGAATCAGGTTTCCTGGGTTTTCTGCTGACGCTGACAATGTTTTCATAAAGAGATTCAGTGACTATAGGAAAGGAAAAAAATCTGGTGCCACACACTGTGCCGTCCCCGTTAATTGGCACAGGCCTGCACAGAAGGCCAAGAACTGAACAAACAGAAACCCCAAGGGAACCCGATAGTTGCTGGGGTTGCAACTTTCCAGAACAGGAGCTACCTGAGGCCTACATAAGAATTCAAGGACAAATTGGCAACAGCAAGCTCCGGGAGTTTTTTCGCTGGAAACAAGATGGCAGCTGGGTACTGTTAGTAAAAGTACTAGCATGGCAGTGCTGGTCTGTCAAAATAATGCGTTGATGAAATCTTGATTTTAGGTGTGGACTGGTTTGCTGTACAAACGTGTATATTTGAGAGATATCGCCTAGTATTGAAAAATCCACCTAGAGACACTTTTTTTTTAAAGACTTTATTTATTTACTTGAGAGAGAGAGAGAGTGAGCGAGCACATGGGAGCACACAGAGGGAGAGGGAACACAGAGGCAGAGGGAGAAGCAGGCTTCCCAGCAAGCAGAGAGCAGGATGTGGGGCTCGATCCCAGGACCCCGGGATCATGACCTGAGCTGAAGGCAGATGCTTAACCGACTGAGCCACCCAGGCGTCCCTAGAAATAATTTATTTTAAAAGTCTGCCTGTAAGGGGGCACCTTGGTGGCTCAGTCGGTTGGGCGTCAGCCTTTGGCCAGAGTCATGATCCCAGGGTCCTGAGATGGAGCCCCGGGTCGGGCTTGCTGCTCAGCAAGGAGTCTGCTTCTCCTCCTCTCTCTGCCCCTCCCCCTGTCCATGCTCTCTCTCTTTCTTTCTCTCTCTCTCAAATAAATTTTTAGAAGTCTTTAAAAAAAAAGTCTGCCTGGGGCGCCTGGGTGGCTCAGTTGGTTAAGCGGCTGCCTTCGGCTCAGGTCATGATCCTGGAGTCCTGGGATCGAGTCCCGCATCGGGCTCCCGGCTCGGCGGAGAGCCTGCTTCTCCCTCTGACCCTATCCCCTCTCATGCTGTTTCTCTCTCTCTCAAATAAAAAAAAGTCTACCTGTAAGTAATAATGTTCATGTGCCAATTATATCTGTATCTGTATCTTTTTCTATATCTCTATACACAGTACCAATTCTGTTTCATTTGTATATAAAATGCTCAGGGGTGAGTTGCTAAGATCAGTCTCTCTGTGTATATCCCATCATCCTTTGTTTGGGTCCTCTGAGCAGCAGGTGCCAAGGCTGAATTAGATAAGCAAGGGGCATACCAGGGGAAACGCATATGAAGGATAAACGAGGAAGGAGCAAGAGCAGGTGGGGAGTCTGAGCTGTAGGTCTGACCCCTGAGAAAGGAGATGGAAGGAAGGAGGGTGGGACACAAAAGGCCTCCGGACACAGTACAGCGCTGAGAAAGTGTCAGCCAGGCTGATGGGGAGCCTGAAGTCAAAGGCTGCCTGTAGAAGTGCCAGGTCAGGCAACAGTGGCCCAGCTCTGGTGTCCCTGAGGAAAACGGCCTGGGCAGAGTATGGCCAGAAGGTACGACCGGTGGGGGGCTGTCGGCTCTTCTCTATGGTTTCTCTGGATGGTAGGCCCCCACGGCACCCTCCAGGGCCACCACTCCGTTTCTCCATTTGCGGGGTTAGGGTTTCGGCTTATCATAAAACTGTGAACTGGTGGGCCTTCAAAAGCACTGAATTCAGGCGAGAGGCTCAATGATCGGGCAGTTAGGTTTCTGGAGACCAGCAGGCTCGTCTAGGAGACATGGCTACACACTTCCTGGCTTAGAGGCCTTCGACATGTATTTTCCCTGAGCTCCACTTCCCTCATCTTTACACAGTGACTCTTCCAGAGAGTTCCTACACAGAGGAGATGTTGTCATGCATGTGAGGTGCTTCGCTCTGTGTGGCCCATAGCAAGCTCAGTCAGGGTACAATTTACAATAGCTATTGTGAATTTGGACTCAGTTTTCAAACACAGGGCGAACCTATATGTTAACATACATATGTATATATGTATATGCATATATGTATTACATGTACACATATACATATTACATGTATGCATTATATATACACATATATGTATTTTATATGTATATTATATACATATATTAACATAGCTTGAGTGTGTATGTGTGTATGTATATATACATATATATTTGTAAGATATAAAGGGCTTTTCTCCTTTCAGAAAGGTAAAAAGAGGGTAGGACGTTATCTGGTATCAGCATCCCAAGTGAGAACTGCATGATTTTATTTTATTTTATTATTTTTTTAATTTTTTTTTTAAAGATTTTATTTATTTATTTGAGAGAGAGAAAATGAGAGAGAGCACATGAGAGTGGGGAGGGTCAGGGAGAAGCAGACTCCCCGCCGAGCAGGGAGCCCGATGCAGGACTCGATCCTGGGACTCCAGGATCATGACCTGAGCTGAAGGCAGTCGCCTAACCAGCGGAGCCACCCAGGCGCCCGAAAACTGCATTATTTTAAAACTACCCTTAACAAGGACTTTTGAAGCAGAGAAAGATTAATATACTCTGGTTTTTTTTTGGTTTGTTTGTTTTTTGTTTTTGTTTTTAGCAGGGGAGGCACAGAGGGAGAGGGAGAGAGAAAATCTTAAGCAGGCTCCACGCCCTGCACTGGGCACGGAGCCTGACACGGGGCTTGATCTCACAACCCTGAGATCATGACCTGAGCCAAAATCAAGAGTTGGCCACTTAACTGACTGAGCCACCAGGCACCCCAAGATTAATATACTCTTTAATATCTTTGCAAAAGAGCTAATGGATCCAATCATGGAAATAGATGAGAGGCAATGAGGAAAGGTGGGGCGGATGGGGGCTGCAACAGGTCCCAAATGCCCTGGTGGAAAAAGAGATCTTTATACTAAATTTAACATCAATGTTTTTAATCTTCATATTTAGTCTTCTCATTTTTTTTTTTTTAGCTCTTAGCTGTAATTATTTACAAGCTTATGCCTTACTGGATTAAATAAGAAGTATTTTTACAGAGTCAAAAACCTAATCACAGGGTAGGAGATGGCAACTGGGGGCTGCCAGAGAGTGAATGTCAGGGAATCACAGTGCATGTGGATCTCTGACACCCAGCCATGCTCTGCTCAGTGCATCGTCTGATTGCCAGTAGTCCCAGGGGGCCCACTCTTAAGATCCGGAGAAAATGAGGGTCCACTTATCCAATTGTGAATCTCCATTCTCTCCATTAGGGTCTCCCAACATATTGGGCCAACGTCCAAGGGTTCAGGGGAGAAGGCTGAGGGATTGTTTTCTGATTCCTGTGGCTTGCTGTCGCTTAAGCTCATTTCTCTCAGATCTAGGCCTATGTTGATGTCACTCATTGTCCTAAAAATGCAACCAAAGAGACTTAAGTCTAGTCGTGTCTTCTCTGCGTTGGTCTCTATGGAAAGCCATGCCCAGCTACCTTCAGGTTCAGGGCGTGAAGTCTCTTTGCGGGCCGTCAGAAAGATTAGGCTCCCTACGTCCCAGGCATGTTTTAATATCCTTCCTTTCCTTTCCCTCCCCTCCCCCCCAACCCTCCAGTTTCCCATGAGCAGCATTGAACTTGTCCTACAAAAGCTGAAAGAAGAAGAATCAAAATCCAGAGAGATCAAGCAGGTATTTGCAGCTGCTGACTGTAGGCACACAAAGATGGTGGATTATAATACATTCAGGTAAGCCAGATGCTGCCAGCAATAATCTGTTTTCCCTTCAAGATTGTCCAAAGAGCAAAAAACAATTTCTTCCCTGGTGCTGCCTAACTAATTTACTACATGCTTTTTATTAGGACTTGACATTTCTTTGTGTTCGTACTACTTTGTGATCAAGTTTGGTCCATTTCTAGTAAAGTTTATGTATTTGCATATAAAAGGAGCTTATAGGCAAGAACAGAGAGACAAAAGCACAGAAAGTCAGTTCTGTTGTCTTGTGAATCATGGTATTGAAGGCTCCAGGGGAATGCCGGGAAGAATGCATCTGGGTGAGAATGGCAGAAAAAAAAAAATGCAGCTAAGGGCACCCCCTCTGAAATCTGGGGAACAAAGGAGGGACAGCTCCCTAGGAATGTGATCCAGTTGGAAAAAGACAGTGGAAACTTTCCTGATTATCAGAGAAGAGGTGATAGGTATGCGTCTGTGTGTAGGTGTGCTTACACACATCCGTGTGTTTTGAAAAACAGACAGAAATCGAGGGGAAAATAGAGGACAGTAGTTAGAACTCTAATAAGAAATCATGAGCCATAAAGGTTTTCTCTAAGGTAGAGCTGAATTCTGGGACTGTCCAGTGGCTGACCTAGGCAAATTGCCAAACAGTGGAAACACAGGGAAATTCAAATTCAGGATCTAGTACAATTGTGAGACTTCTTAGCCTGAAAACAAAGTGAATGGAGCGTTCAGGAGAATGTAAATTAAATCATGGATGGGAAGACAAAGGGGACTTTCTCTTTAGGCTGAGAATTCTGGCTCCTGAAAACAGTAGTGGCCAAAAGCTGTATAGGAGACTTGCTGCAGTCAAGATGTGAGCTGACCAGTGAGGAAGAGTCCAGGACAGGGTGGTGGGGGAGCGGGGGGGATCTTTCCAGCTTTGTGTCTGGAGTTGCCTATTACATCAATACCTGGTGACCTGAGGCCACCATCAGGCCCGAAGTGTCCCCAAAACTCATTTGTCATCTTAACAAAGCTCTTTTGTATCTCCAGAATGTTCTTTTGAGAGCAGTCAGGACATATTTTTATTGTTTAGGATTGCCAACCTTCTGGGGTCAATAAGAATTTATAGCTCTTTGTTATTGTTCATAGTCGTACACATGTTCGTGACCTTTTAGAAAATAAAGGGAGATGGAGGAAAGAGCAAAGACACTTGCTCAGGCCCGGGGACTAGCGGAAAGCTGCGGAGGAAGAAACAAATTTCCATCAGAAACGAGGGAGTGGTTTCGCTTTTGTTATTTTGTGTCCTTTTACAAAAGCATCCATTCTCCCAACACTCCAGCAAAATCTGCTGGAAACACTTCAGTGAGTTTATGGGACTTTCTGGGAGGCACTTAGGCCCCGGGCAGGAGATCCAAGGAGGAAAAGTTGCTCTGCAGATGGAGGCCTGACCCTGACCGTGGGTGGAAGAAAGGCCCGCCAGGCCGTGTGATGGAGGGGACAGCCTCAAGGCACCGCGTGCTTGGAAAGAACCAGCTCCTCCCCCCGCCCCCTCCCCTTCCCCCCTCCCCCATCTTGAGGCCCTTTCCTGGCCAGGAATTCCTTAAGATGGAAACCAGATCAGGTCATCATGCCCGGCCTACAGAACCCTTCCATGGCTTGCCATCATCCTTACAGTAAGATCCAGACGTTTTGGGGCAGCCGGCTAAGCCCGGAGTGATGTGACTCTGTGTTTCCAGTATTAATCACTTCTTGTTCCCCAGCCTCGTCCTCTGGCCTCGATGGCTGCTACTCAGTTTCTCGAATGAACAAACGTGTCAAGCTCTTGCCTGCTTCCAAGCCTTTGCACACTCCCTTCCCTCTGCTTAGAATGCCCACATTCCGGGGCAAATTCTAAGGCTCGTCTTCAATGGCACTTCCGCCGAGGGGGCTTGCTTTCTGCTTCTCCTGCCTAAAGTAGATCAATCCCTGTTATCCTTAGCTTTTTGCTGCTCTTTTTCATAGCACTTCATACAACTTGCCGGTACTTGTTTCAGATAGCGGTTACTTGGTGCGTGTGTGCCTGTGTGTCTTCTCCTATTAGAATAGGAACTTCCCGAGGGCCAGGGACCTCGATGGTCCTGTTCACGGCCCTATCCCTGGCACCTAGCACTGGGCTCAGTGAATATCTTAATTCCCCAGTGGAATGACCAACTGCTAGGATTATTCTCGGGGGTTCCAATTTGGAAGTGGTGGCATTGTCTCCAGATGAGAGGCCAATCCCAGCCTGTCAGTGTTTTCATGTGAGTTTGGTCATGGTCTGACCCTTGCCCACCCCCCACCCCCCCCTTATTTCCATCTCACTAGAAGAAGACTTCTGTAGAAGTCCCCATTGATGGAGCCCTTACTCTGGGCAAGACAAGGTGTTAAATACAGTTCATCTACTATCCACGGGTAGCACCTGTTGAGTTGTTAACTCACCAGGCCCCACAATTGGCTCCGGCCAAGTACCGTAGATGTTTGTCGAGTCATGTCACGAGCGGCCCTATTTCTCAGGACCGTTCAGTTGCCAGGTGTGCAGCAAACAAGCAAATAATTGATTACCTTGCCCTGGGGAAGGGCTGTCTGTCTCTGACTGGAGGGGAGTCAGGGAGAGAGAGCTAGGCCTGACCCTCACGAGCCAAGCAACTTGGGCAACTCACTCCGCCTACCTGCACCTCACTCTTGCCCATGTCGTGGTCTCTATGGCCCTTTCCGGGCATTGACATTGTGAAGCCCTTCAGATGTCGGTTTATAAAGACACTTGTAAAATGCTCCCTCTCGCAAATCTGTGCGTTGCAGGAGTAGGCAGGCAGAGACAGGACTGAGGCGTAGGCCTCCAGGCTTCATCTCCGTGGCCCTGAGTCTCTCCCCTACTTACAAAGCTGGCACTGTCCGTGCGCACCTGGGGACTCAGAGCTACTGGGGCAGTGGTCCAAGCCCCAGGCATTTCCTTTCCCTTCTTCTCAGACATTTGTGCCTCTCTCAGGGAAACCTTGAGAGTGGGAGGTAATCAACCACTTCCGCAGAAGATGCCACGCCTGATAACAGATGAATGGATTCATGCATGGGCCTTCTTGAGATAATCGCCTCATAAGTGGCCTGAAGGAATGCGGGGACAGGTGGAAACAGGAGGCACGTTGGGGAGGAAATGTTTCTTTTCTGCCTTGTGGGGGTCACTAGTTCTGTCTTTTCATAGTCTGTCAGGTCGGCCGATGGGAGTTGCTGACTGTGGTCCGGGAGAGCGCAGAGAGCCTTTCTCAGAGCCTCGGGTGGCTCCTGGGCAGATCTCAGCAGGGAGCTGGGCAGGGACTGGGCTTGGCAGGGCCAGCGTCTTGTGCAATTGCGAACATCGCCGGGTGAGGCTTCCCCTTGTGGGCCCTGGATTCTGAACGATAGGCTGCAGCAGCAGCAGCAAGGGCCCCGTGCCAGGGAAGATGTGGTCAGGCCCTCTCTCTGGCCACCTCCCCAAGCCTTGAGCTACCAATTGGAGATGACCCCTACCCCAGGGAGCCTGTGTATATTTTGGTTTTCTGCATGCTCACCTTTTCTCCCCACCTGGGCCAAGCTCCCAGAGGGCAAGGCCCACGCCCGGTTCACCCCTGTGTCTTTCCCAGCTACCTCCTGGACCCAGTGTCTCAGGCCTCAAAGCACATAGGAAGTTACTACATAGTTCCTCCTTAGATGCCCATCATCAACGGCAGGGCCAGGAGATTTCCTACGAACATCCATGTAATAAATGCCTTCTAAGATTTAGAGTCTCGAGAAAGTTTTTTCCCTTGTAAAATTAAAATTCTTCCTGAGAGGGGTAGTACAATATAAATAAGATCTGATTTTGGACTTGCTGACCTGAGTCCAAATCTCAGCTCTAACATTTGTCAAGTAAGTTGCTGAACAGTGTTTTCACCTATAAAATGGGGATAATAATACCCACTATATTAGAGCAGTTGTGATGAGTAAATATGATAATATATACAAAGTTCTTATTGTAGCATGCTGTGGTGTATGGTGGACACTAGAAAATGAAAAACCCTTTATCCCCATAGTTGCCACTTTGTGTCACCAAAACTAGTAATAGAAGTCTGTCTTATTTTCAGTATTTCAGTTAAGTTATAGATTTATCTACGATGAGGTCATTGAAAACATTCTTTAGGGGCACCTGGGTGGCACAGTCAGTTAAGCATCTGACTCTTGGTTTCAGCTCATGTTCTGATCTCAGGGTCGTGAGACTGAGCCCCACGTCAGGCTCAGCACAGAGTCTGCTTGAGATTCTCTCTTCATCTCCCTCTGGCCCTCCCGCTCATGCTCTCTATTTCTCTCTCTCAAATAAATCTTTAAAAAAATTCTTTCATAAACAAAGTTGGAAGAAACTCTTAAAAACCTTGGAGGCCATGAAGGTGGAAAATAAACATCATCATTGGTGGACTGAAGTTGGGAAACACTGTTATAATCCACCCTATTACTGTCCTTTACTTCAAGGAAGAAGAATATAAATTTAGTGCTTAGAACATTGTAATGATCTCATCCTGATTTATCTCAGACAATTATCTCTCCCTTTATGTGGTTTTGCTCTATCTTTATTCAAACAACTCTGTGTTGTTATGGGTGTTTTTACTGTAAGTCTAACATCTTTTAAGTCTATGAATCTGTATGAACAAAAGCAAAAACTAAGATATATTCCAGAAGCACTCAAATATCTATTCTCATCATGAGCCAAATAGACACTCTGACAGTGTTCATAGCATATCTTTGAGATGGGAGCCTCGGCATACATTTTTAAAAAACAGCGTTTTGAACCTTCGTAAAAGCATTAAATATAAATAACGTGATGTCATAGAAAAAACACTGGCCTGGGAATCAAAAAGACCAGGATCTTTGATTTGATTCTGTCACTGCCTGATGGCATTCTTTGTATTGGTGAAGCCTTAGTTTTAAAAAGGAGAATCGTCTCTGGCTAGCTAAACCAAAAAGGAATTTATTAAAAGGATCCTGGGTGGTTCACAATATCATTGGGAGGGCTCGAGAAATAAGCCTGAAACTAAATTCTAGGAACAGTGCCCAGAACTGGGCTGTAGAACTTGTCTGATGGGAAAATGGCCTCTGTCACCGCTGTACCACCCATGACTCAACGCACCATTTGCACTGCTTCCAAGAACTCCATCTTACCACAGCCATCACCACCACTGCGTCCTGTGCCGCCGCTGAAAACTGGATCCCTCTGACACCTAACATGGTCTACACCTCGCTGGTTTCCCCTGTTAATCCCTCCCAAGTCAAAGTCTTCTACAAGCTTCCCTGATTGGCGGAGCCTGAGTCACTGGCATGTTTCTTTCTTTTTTTTTTTATTTTAATTTTTTTATTGTTATGTTAATCCCCATACATTACATCATTAGTTTTTGATGTAGTGTTCCATGATTCATTGTTTGTGCATAACACCCAGTGCTCCATGCAGAATGTGCCCTCCTCAGTA